TATACATTCTTGACAAATTCTTAGTTTTGGGTTCTAACAGTTCAGTTTCTAATTTGGATCTTTCCACCTGGAAGCCAATTTTCTTGTCCAATTTAAATGCCTCCATTATCTGATAATAATGAAGCCAGTCTCGCACTTTGTTTTTTAATTTTTCAAAACTCTGCAATTTCAGTCTATCTCCGTCTTGTTCCAAAATTTCCCAATATTTCGGCCATTTGACCTCCATATTGGCCTTTCTCAAGGCTTTCGCTTCCATTGGTGACAGCCACCTTGGAGTTTTGTTTTCTAGCAAATCCTTATATCTTAACCAAACATTAAATAGCGCTTTCCTGACAATGTGGTTTCTAAATGCTTTATGTGCTTTGACCTTATCATACCATAAATATGCATGCCATCCAAATACATTGTTAAAACCTTCCAAATCCAAAATGTCAGTGTTTTCAAGAAGTAGCCATTCTTTCAACCAGCAAAAAGCTGCTGATTCATAGTAAAGTTTAAGATCTGGCAGGGCAAATCCGCCTCTTTCCTTTGCATCCGTTAGAATTTTAAATTTTATTCTGGGTTTCTTGCCCTGCCAGACAAATTTAGAAATATCTTTCTGCCACCTCTTGAAACAATCCATCTTGTCGACAATCTGCAAAGTTTGAAACAAAAACAACATTCTAGGCAATACATTCATTTTTATCGCAGCAATACGGCCTAGCAGTGAAAGCTTCAAATTTGACCAAATTTCTAAGTCTTTTTTCACTTCCGACCAACATTTTTCATAATTATCTTTAAATAAATTCCCATTTTTTGCTGTCATGTTAATCCCCAGGTATTTAACTTTCTTAACCACTGTTAAACCTGTCTCATTCTGAAACCTCTCTCTTTCAAACAGTGTTAAATTTTTCTCTAAAACCTTAGTTTTTGACTTGTTCAATTTAAATCCTGCCACTTGACCAAATTCTTGAATCAGTTCTAAGACCCTTTTAGTACTAGATTCTGGCTCCTGTAACGTCAATACTAAGTCATCTGCAAATGCTCTCAATTTATAGTGTTTAATTCCGACCTGTATACCTTTAACCATCTGGTCCCTTCTAATCATATTCAGCAGAACCTCCAGGACCGAAATAAAAAGAAGTGGGGAAATAGGGCAACCTTGTCGTGTCCCTTTTTCAATTTTTAGTTCTTCCGTCACAACATTATTTACAATTAGTTTAGCTTTTTGTTCTGAATAAATTGCACCTATACCATTCTCAAAACCTTGGCCTACCCCCATACCCTGGAGATTCTTCTTCATAAAATTCCAAGAAATATTGTCAAAAGCTTTCTCCGCGTCTACAAATATCAAAACTGCTTTAGTGTTTATATTCACTTCTAATTTTTCCAAAATATCAATTATATTCCTCAAATTGTCAGACAAATGTCTTCCTGGGAGAAAGCCCGCTTGGTCTTTATGAATCTCTTCCATCAGCACTTTCTTAAATCTCTTAGCCAGAATATCTGCAAAAATTTTGTAATCCACATTCAATAACGATATAGGGCGGTAGTTCTTAAGCTGTGTCTTTCAGTCTCTGTTTTTGGTACAAGTGTAATATATGCTTCTTTCCACGACTCTGGTGCTCTTTTCCCCTCCATTATTTCGTTGCAGACCTCTTTCAAAGGTTGAATTAACCATTCTTTTAAAGATCTGTAGTATCTAGAGGTCAAGCCGTCTGGTCCTGGAGATTTACCCAGTTGCATATTTTGAATGGCACCTTCTATTTCCTGTTCAGTTATTCTATGATTCAAAATTAATTTATTTTCTTGAGATATTTTTTGTAATCCATTTGTTTTCAAAAATTGGTCTAAGTCTGTTTCTTTCAGTGGCCCTTCAGTATATAATTGTTTAAAGTACCTCTGGAAACAACTTCTGATCTCTGCAGGGTTCTGTATGTTTCTTCCTTCCACTTCTAAGTTCGTAATTGTATTTAATTTTTGTCTCTTTTTCATTTGCCATGCCAACAGTTTACCACATGGCGAAGCTATTCGAAATTTGGCAGCAGAAATTGAAAAAGTGGCCCATGTCCCTGTCCCTACTTGGAACGGATGGGACGTGTCCTGGTGGGCTGATTGGCTTCCAAACCTAGAGGACTTTTAATGATGTTACTAGGCCCATTGATAATTTTGCTTCTTTTCTGCTCCTGTGTACCTTGCTTCTTGCAATGCTTGCAAAATATGATGCATAAAATGGTGTCACGAATGGTTCGGCCCCAGAATATAGCACTAGCCCAAGAATATCAGCCAGTGCCTCCTTGGGACGAGCCGGAAGGCTGTCCAAAATAAAGGGGGGGGAATGAAGGGACAGGATACCCAAATCCTGACTGTGTGGTCACCCCAATTAGTGTGTAGTCACCCCAACTAGGCCTCAAGACTTCCCAAATTCTTTCTTTGAGGATGCAAACCTAAAATGCATTAGCTCTGCTGTATAACACAAAGCTTAACACAAAGTAGCTGAAAGGAAGAAAGCTTTCTCCTCTTCTCAGTAAAAGATGACCTGGCCGCCAGCAGCGCATCCAGCTGATCAGCCTTCTCGCAAGTTTCTTGGCTCGCTGACAGGAGCAATGCACACCCGACCCGTGGGAAAGGCCTGAAAGGCTACAACCCAATGCAAAAATCCTGAGGATCCATGTGGACCTGTGCTTTGTAACCACGTTTTTGCCGCATTGCGGCCCCACAAAACAGTGGGTGTGTGATTTTTGGGGTGCAGGCTGTAGTCACGGACATGCTATGTGATCTGGTGGTGAATTTGGGGTGACCCAATGCTAAAATCCTGAGGATCCATGGGCTTTTACCTCCCCCCTCCGAGGCAGCCTCCTTTATATCTAGCCTCCCTTATCTCGCTCCCGATCGCTTGCCGATCAGCGGCTTTGTTTCAACACCCCCTTCCCTCTTTCAAAAAAAGAAGCATGATCTGCTTTTTGCCCCTGGGCAATTCGGCTCCAGGGACCACGCATTCGCTCCATAAGACGCACAGACATTTCCCCTTACTTTTTAGGAAGAAAAAAGTGCGTCTTATGGAGCGAAAAATACGGTAAGTGGAAATCAGTCTTCCCCCTCCTCCCCCCCTTCCTTAAAAACCCTGCTCTTCCTGGCTGGGGTCTCTTTCCTCTCTCTCCCCACCCCCAGCCAACCCACCTCCCCATTCCTGGGTTATGGGTTCGAGCCCCACACTGAGCCAAATATTCCGGCATTGCACGGGGGGGGGGGGTAGACTAATGACCCACGCCTTCCAGCTCTGCTATTCTATTATTGTATATATGGGCAACTTATGAACACTGATAGGATTGTAGAGCTGGAAGGGAACCCGGGGGGTCATCTAGTCCAACCCCCCCCCCCGCAATGCAGGATTCGTCGGAAGAATCAGGAGCCAGGAAGAATCAAATTTCAATAAAGAATGGGGAGAGTTTAAAATGCATTTGAAAAAAATTATTGTAAACAACAACAATCCCTCGTAGGTTTGACCGAAAACATGTAGTAAAAATTCGAATCATGGATTGGAGTAAGGACTTATAATAACTGGAGTCAGTGAGGAGATGCAGAACAAAAATTATAACCTAAGGATCCACAAAGGGGGGGGGGAGTCAAAGAAATATGATGTTTGCATTTTGATTCTTTGTAAAATTGAAAATGAAAAAATGAAAAAGAGGAACCTTTGGCCCAGCATGGGCTCGAACCCGCGACCTTGAGATTAAGAGTTTCCTGCCATACCCTCCACGTGTCTTGATTTTCCAGGGACAGTCCCAGAATTTCGAAGGCCCTCCATGCGTCTGATGTTTATTTGTGGATTTTAATTGTGGATGTTCATGTTTTCATTGGATTGTTTTGATTTTTTGATATATATTTTTTGTAAACCACTGTTTTACCTTCCTAATGTGCCATTAGATTATAAACTACGTCTTATACAACCAAAAATAATACTGGGCTCCGATACATTATTATAGAAAGGGATGATCTACAAAGACGTGTTGCTGGAGGTGCGAAAATTAGAATTCCTCTTTGAAGCGTCTCCTTATGCAATGTCTGAGGCTTACAGATTTCTGGAGGAAAGTATTTGGATATATAAATGCTAATTTGTAGAGAGGCTGCCCTGCCCTGAGGCAGGAAGCAATGTCATTGCCAGGAAAGGTTTGCGTAATTTCTACCTTTGCCCCCCCCCCCCCAGGGTCAGGTCATATTGGACCTCACTGCCCTGCCTGGCAGGAGACGGAGGAGGAGGAGGGGGCAACCTTTGAACTGCACCCAACACCCCCACCCACAGGGTGCTTCAGAAACCCTGTGATTTCTCACCCTGTCTTTCTTCCAGGGGCACCTAAAGGCCATCAGGAGGAGCTGTGCTTGGTCCCTTTGAAAGGTAGGCAGCTGCAACTGCGGATCCTCAGAGCACTCTTCACCTGCTCAGAGGCACTCTTTCTTCCCTAGAGCTACCGTGCCACCAAAGCTGCGATTCCTGCCTTGCAAGGGGTTGGGCTGGATGACCCCTGGGGGTCCCTTCCAACTATACCACTTTATGGTTCTACCGTAAGTCCCACTGTTTTTGAAACGCATCAGTTGTTTTGAAAACGGTTCTTCCCTGCTTTTTATTGCGTTTTATGCTGCTCTGAGCCCGGCTTTGGCTGGGGAGGGTGGGAAATAAATAAAATTTGATGATGATGATGATGATCTCCTCGAGAGCAGCTTCCTCCGTGGTTTGGAGAAGGGAGGCAGGCAGATGGGGCAATCCATCCTGGCACCCCAACCTTTGTCTTGTGGGCCAAGAAGGCGGGGCGACCCTGGGATGAGGGCCAAGGGGAGGGAGCTGAGGGCCAGCAGGGCAGGTGCCAGGCAGGGCTGGGAGTCAAAAGAAAGGAATCTGACACCCCTTGTCTCCTTTCGGAGGAGAGCTCAGCCAGGTCCCCTTTGCCTCACCTGGGTGACAGCAGCGTCCTTATTGCAGGCCTACCTGGGGACCAAAGCTTCCTGAGACCCAGGGTCAGAAGATGGCGCTGCAGAAACACCTGGAGGCTCTTAGCGTCTTCCAGTGGGTCCTCACCTTCTTCTTCTTTGGTAAGTTGGGTGGGTGGGAGAGGGGCAGGGGGTGCTCAGGGAAGAGGGGCAGCTTGGCCTCCTCCTCTTCCTGGGGCCATGGCCCTTGGGAGCTCCTCTGGCAGGCCAGGCCCCTGTAATAAACTTAAATCTGCCCTTATTTCCTTATGGGGGACACAAGAGCCCTTAGAGAGTCCTTTGCAGGTTCTCCATCAGTCGGAGAAAAGAACAGAGGCCAACCAGAGAATATTGAGAAGCAAAGCAGCTAGTAAGCCTGATCTTTATTGAACTGTTGCAACAGGGTGCCCCCTTCACACGCAGGAGGAGGAGGACCCCGAACCAAGGTGTGCCCGCCTTTATATAGACATTTTAAATTGGCCGCCCTGGAGTCCAAGACCACCCCCAGATACATCATGCCTACATCGCAGAAAGGGCGGTCTACAGCAGAAATCTGAGTGCGTTGTTTACCTCCTGTCTGGCAGGTTACCTGTTAATGCTCACTTGATTGGATACCCTGGGGAGCCTGGCCAGTCTTTCGTGGTGACAAATGCTTAGTTCCTGAGCCAGGTCACAGGCTCACACCCTATTCAAACACAGACATACCCTTAAGACAGGATTTGTGAAGGAAAAGACAGTGGGGAGGTTTTTCCATTTTTCTTTAACCTTGCAGAGAAATCGTTTGGTCAGTTTGGGGGTCAAAATGGTTTCCGGGCTGTTTTCCTGTGCTGCTTCAGACATGTGATTCATATATTTATGTACGTGTTTGATTGGTACATTTATGAACATTTATTATATATATAAGACCTTAATTTTTTTAATTTCACATCCTTCCCCCAAAAGCCAAACCCCCTCTTTTTTTCAAAGCACCTTTCCGCCAGGTGAGTCTGGACTAGGGAGTCAGCACTGCAGGGGGTTGGGCTAGATGGCCCTGGGGTGCCCCTTCCAACCTAAAATGTCCTTCTAGGTTTAGGGGTGCTTCAGATCAAACCCTCGGGGGTCCCGTGAAATCGGGGTTGTGGTCCCAGGCAGGGCCTCTGAATCCCAGTGAGGGGGGAGCGCTGCTCTTGCGCTCAGAGTTGGGTGATAAATCGATATATCATCCAAAACCGGTTTGAAGTCCACATTGTGATATTAGTTTTTTAAAAAAATAAATTTATTTATTTGGTTTTTCAAATCAGAATTTTGCAATGACATATGCAGCATACAACATAAAAACAAGATTCCACAGAATCTCCAGGACTTCTTCCCTCTCCCCCCCCCCAGGTCCCTTCTTCTCCGTTCTCCTGGCCTACCTGCTCTTCACCTCCTTCTGGCCTATCAGTGTCTTGTATTTCGCCTGGTGGATCTTTGACTGGGATACGCCAGAGAGAGGTGAGTTCGATTCTCCCCAACCAGGGCCGGATTGGAGTTTGATGAGGCCCTAAGCTACTGAAGGTGATGGGGCCCTTTATATGTCCAGCTGTCTTTTGTTCACAACAAATTGTCACTGTTTTTTGTGTTGAATATATGCTATATGGTAATTGATGGACCTCATAGGTATCTAAAGCCATGCAACCAGTCCATGCAGATCGTAAGGTAAAGGGACCCCTGACCATTAGGTCCAGTCGTGGCCGACTCTGGGGTTGCGGCGCTCATCTCGCTTTACTGGCCGAGGGAGCCGGCGTGCAGTTTCCAGGTCATGTGGGCAGCATGACTAAGCCGCGAACCAGAGCAGCACACGGAAACGCCCTTTACCTTCCCGCCGGAGTGGTACCTATTTATCTACTTGCACTTTGACGTGCTTTTGAACTGCTAGGTGGGCTGTAGCTGAGACCAAGCAACGGGAGCTCACCCCTTCACGGGGATTCGAACTGCCGACCTTCTGATCGGCAAGCCCTAGGCTCTGTGGTTTAACCCCCAGCGCCACCCGCGTCCCAGATGCAGATCACAGGTACCCTATATATAGAAATGAGCAAACCAGGGATAATTAAGGGAACAGGCTAGCAGGCGGGGCCCGTGACTTACATCACAGGAGCCTACACAACACAAAACACTGTTCCTGTAGGTAGGTTTTATTTTATTTGTTTTTTATCTTATATTTCGGAAATGTACATCCAGGTTTTTTCCCTTTAAATCTTTTTGGGGCCCCCAAGGGACTGGGGCCCTAAGCTAGAGCTTGTTTAGCTTATAGGTAAATCCGGCACTGCCCCCAACCCTACCCGGAGGTCAGGTGAAAGGCGCCTCTCCTTGTCTGAGAAGGGTGCTGAGCCCCACACCCAGACCCACACAGCTGGAGCTGCTGCTTCACCCTGCCCCTCCTCCTCCAACTCACCCCCTTCCACTGGGGCAGCTTGCAACCATCCCAAACCTGTTTTCCTCACTGCTATTTACTGTTATCTACCGTATTTTTCACCCCATAGGACGCACCGGCCCATAGGATGCACCTAGGTTTTTTGGGGGGGGGGGGAAATAAAGGGAAAAAAAATTATTTCCCCCCAGGCGCTTGTGGGGCCGGCAGCGGGAAGAAGCACGCGTCTCCCCGCGGCCAGCCTCCAAACCACGTCGGGAGGCAGCGGGATGGCGCGCCTCCCCGCTGTCCCCTGAGCTTGTGGGGCTGGCGGTGGGGCTCTCCAGGCTTCAGCGAAAGCCTGCATTCGCCCCATAGGACGCACACACATTTCCCCTTCATTTTTGGAGGGGAAAAAGTGCATCCTATAGGGCGAAAAATACGGTGTTTTCCAAGACAGCTTCCAATAGATGACACAATGGCAGAAGGCATTTCATTTCTCTCTCTCTCTCTCTCTCTCTCTCTCTCTCTCTCTCTCTCTGTATGGAGGGCAGAAAAACCAGCTGCAATTATTTATGTATTTATCATTATTTATTAAATTTTGCTATAAAAACACACATGAAATCCTGTAATTGACACAAATCAAAAGAACCCTCCCCAAAATATAACGTAAAATCAGAGTTGGAAGGGACCCCAAGGATCATTTGCTCCTCATTATTGATTGATTGATTGATTGATTGATTGATTATAATTTTATTTATACCCTGCCCATCTGGTTGGGCTGCCCCAGCCACTCTGGGCGGCTTCCAACACACACACACACACACACACACACACACACAATAAAAATAAAACATCAAGTATTAATAGTAACAATCAGATCCTATAAAAAAGTCAGAATAACATACCAAGTAAAGCAATATGAGACCAAATTGCAAACATGTGCTGGATTATGGAGAAAGCTAGAGAGTTCCAGGAAAACATCTACTTCTGCTTCATTGACTATGCAAAAGCCTTTGACTGTGTCGACCACAGCAAACTATGGCAAGTTCTTAAAGAAATGGGAGTGCCTGATCACCTCATCTGTCTCCTGAGAAATCTCTACGTGGGACAAGAAGCTACAGTTAGAACTGGATATGGAACAACTGATTGGTTCAAAATTGGGAAAGGAGTACGGCAAGGCTGTATATTGTCTCCCTGCTTATTTAACTTATATGCAGAATTCATCATGCGAAAGGCTGGGCTGGATGAATCCCAAGCCGGAATTAAGATCTCCGGAAGAAATATCAACAACCTCAGATATGCAGATGATACAACCTTGATGGCAGAAAGTGAGGAGGAATTAAAGAACCTTTTAATGAGGGTGAAAGAGGAGAGTGCAAAATATGGTCTGAAGCTCAACATCAAAAAAACGAAGATCATGGCCACTGGTCCCATCACCTCCTGGCAAATAGAAGGGGAAGAAATGGAAGCAGTGAGAGATTTGACTTTTTTGGGCTCCATGATCACTGCAGATGGTGACAGCAGCCACGAAATTAAAAGACGCCTGCTCCTTGGGAGAAAGGCGATGACAAACCTAGACAGCATCTTGAAAAGCAGAGAAATCATCTTGCCAACAAAGGGCCGTATAGTTAAAGCTGTGGTTTTCCCAGTAGTGATGTATGGAAGTGAGAGCTGGACCATCAAGAAGGCTGATCGCCGAAGAATGGATGCTTTTGAATTCTGGTGCTGGAGGAGACTCTTGAGAGTCCCATGGACTGCAAGAAGATCCAACCTCTCCATTCTGAAGGAAATCAGCCCTGAGTGCTCACTGGAAGGACAGATCCTGAAGCTGAGGCTCCAAGACTTTGGCCACCTCATGAGAAGAGAAGACTCCCTGGAAAAGACCCTGATGTTGGGAAAGATGGAGGGCCCAAGGAGAAGGGGACGACAGAGGACGAGATGGTGGGACAGTGTTCTCGAAGCCACTAACTTGAGTTTGACCAAACTGCGGGAGGCAGTGGAAGACAGGAGTGCCTGGCATGCTCTGGTCCATGGGGTCACGAAGAGGCGGACACAACTAAACGACTAAACAACAACAAAGCAATATGCAATAATACATTAAAATCCAATAATAAACACTAAAATTAAGCTTCAGTAAGTCATAACTAAATAAATGAATTTTTAAGCAGAGGTTGGGTGGTCATCTGCCAGGGATTCCTCAGCTGCGATTCCTGCATTGCAGGGGGTTGGGCTGGATGACCCCTGGGGGTCCCCTTCCAACCCCACAGTTCTCTGACTCCGTCCCCTGCCTGAACCCTTGCCTTCGCAGGTGGGCGCCGCAGCGACTGGGTGAGGCGCTGGAGAGTCTGGGAGCTCTACCGGGATTATTTCCCCATCAAGGTATGAGAAGGGGGCTGGCAGGGTCTCTGGAACCCCTGGAGACCAGATCACAGAGAAGCAGGAGGAGGCGGCCGTCAAAGGCTGCTGGCCTCTGAATGTGACATTCAGCTGGGGGTCCAAATGCCAAAGGCCTCGCCCCTCTTGCCTTGCAGCTGGTGAAGACGGCCGAGCTGCCCCCGACACGGAACTACGTCCTGGGCTCCCACCCCCACGGGATCCTCTGCACGGGGGCCTTTTCCGCCTTCTGTACCGAGGCCACGGGCTTTTCCCGCACCTTCCCTGGCCTCCGCCCCAGCCTGGCCGCCCTCGCAGGGATGTTTTGCATACCCGTCTTCCGGGAGTACATGATGAGCTCAGGTGAGGCCAACGGGGCGAGGAATGGTGGGGGTGGGGAAGTGGGGTGACCCCTCCCCTAAGGACCATCTTCAAGAACCCTGCCTGGCCCATCCAATGGGAGGAACCACCCCAGTCTCAGGAATGCCCTCCCAGTGCCCCTGGGAATAGAATTCCCCAGCAAGAATGTCTGTTTTTCCTGCAATTTCCTGTGCAAATGAAAAGGGGCCTTTGTTTGTGCAAATGATGATGGTGATGATGATAATTATTATTATTATTATTATTACAGTGGTGCCCCGCAAGACGAATGCCTCACAAGACGGAAAACCCGCTAGACGAAAGGGTTTTCCGTTTTTGAGTTGCTTCGCAGGACGAATTTCCCTATGGGCTTGCTTCGCAAGACGAAAATGTCTTGCGAGTCTTGAGATTTTTTTTTCGCTTTCCCCCCCCTTTATCTAAGCTGCTAAGCCTTTAATAGCCTTTTAGCAGCTAATCCGCTAAGCCGATAAGCCTTTAATAGCCGCTAAACCGCTAATAGCGCTAATCCGTTAAGCCGCTAATAGGGTTGCTTCGCAAGACGAAAAAACGCTAAACGAAGACACTCGCGGAACGGATTAATTTCGTCTTGCGAGGCACCACTGTATTATTATTATTATTATTATTATTATTATTATTATTTATACCCGCCCATCTGGCTGAGTTTTCCCAGCCACTCTGGGTGGCTTCCAACAGAATATTAAAAACACGATAAAACACCAAACATTAAAAACTTCCCTAAACCTTCAGATGTCTCCTAAAAGTCAGATACCGTACATTCTGGCATATAAGACGACTTTTTAACACCGGAAAATTCCCCAAAAAGTCAGAGGTCGTCTTATACGCTGGGTATGGGTTCGCTGGGCAGCGGCAGCAGGCAATGCTAAGCCGGTTTTGCTGGGCGGCTTCCTCCCGGTGTGGAGTGGCCAATTTAGGGGGTCATCTTATATGCCCAGTTGCCTAATACGCCGTAATCTACGGTAATTGTTTTTCTCTTTGACATCTGATGGGAGGTTGTTCCACAGGGTGGGCGCCACTACTGAGAAGGCCCTCTGCCCTGTAGCTTCACTTCCCGCAGGGTGGGAACCGCCAGAAGGCCCTTGGCTCTGGACCTCAGTATCCAGGCTGAGCAATGGGGGTGGAGACGCTCCTTCAGGTCTACTGGGCCGAGGCCGTTTAGGGCTTTCAAGGTCAGCACCAACACTTTGAATTGTGCTCAGAAACGTTCTGGGAGCCAATGTAGGTCTTTCAGGACCGGTGTTATGTGGTCTCCCAGTCACCAGTCTGGCTGCTGCATTCTGGATTAGTTGTAGTTTCTAGGTCACCTTCAAAGGTAGCCCCACATAGAGCGCATTGCAGTAGTCCAAGCGGGAGATAACCAGAGCATGCACCACTCTGGCAAGACAGTCTGCAGGCAGGGAGGGTCTCATCCTGCGTCCCAGATGGAGCTGGTAGAAAGCCGCCCTGGACACAGAACTGACCTGTGCCTCCATGGACAGCTGTGAGTCCAAAATGACTCCCAGGCTGCGCACCTGGTCCTTTGGGGCCACAGTTGTCCTATTCAGGACCAAGGAGTCCCCCACACCTGCCTGCCGCCTTTGCCCCCCAAAACAGTACTTCTGTCTTGTCAGGATTCAACCTCAATCGGTTAGCCTCCGTCTCTCCTCCAACGGAGGATGCGCTGATCCTTTGCCAGTGATCCTTTTGCCCTTTAACCGACTCACAGAATTTCAGAGTTGTAGGAGAGTCGCGAGGGTCCTCTAGTCCAACCCTCTGCAAAGCTGGGAACCCCTGGAGATGTTTCACACCCACAAGCACCTTTGCTTCCTCCCACTTCCAGGGTTGGTCCCGGTCAACAAAAGGTCCCTTGACTTCCTCCTGAGTGGCCCCCCCGGACACGCGGTGGTCATTGTGGTGGGGGGCACGTCCGAGACGCTGGACACCGCCCCTGGAGAGCAGCGCGTCCGCCTTCAGGGGAGGAAGGGCTTCGTGCGCCTGGCGTTGCAACACGGGTAGGGGCACCAAGGGGGCAAGGGGGGGTCCGGGGGGTGTTGGGCGCAGGTCAGCAATATCTCGGGCCTAGTGAGCATGGCATTGTCCCAATGAAGCAATTGCGAGGACTGAAGGTCCCTGCCCATCCTTGCTGTATAATTTTTTATTACATTTTCCCTCCATTTTCAGCTTTACTAAGCCTGTCTGGACACTCTGACATACATTTTGGAAACGTATGTCTAAATGTTTAGTTCTGGACTTGAACTGTCCAGACTCTGCCAACTTCAAACAGGGTTGATTGTCTTCCCAAACGGTGATGGGCAAGCAACACTCCCCACAGATCTCTTGGACCAAACACTTGTAGAACTCCAGTTCCCTCCAAAGCTCTGACAACGCGCTGAATTCATTTTTTAAAAAATAATATTTCTTGCTTTTATACCTTACAAAAAGAAAAAAAAGAGAAAAGAAAAAAGAAAAGAAGAAAAAAAGAAAAAGAGAAAACAATACAATACAATATATAAACAATACAGAACGCAACATTAACATTAACACATTAAACAAAACAAAAGCAAAAACAATTCAAAAAACACACATCATACCATCTCAATATCCTCTCTTTCATTCCCTTGTTTCATCGACCTCCTCTCACCTCCCTTTTTGTATTCCATTTCTATTAATTGTTTCAGCAAATCCTTTCCATCTTTCTCTATTTTCTGTCATATAATTATCTTAACATATTTTAACCTTATTTTCCATTAATACTATAATACTTATTTATACTTAATTCCTTAAAATATTTCTACTAAAGCCGTATAATTCCCTTCCAACATTTTTCTAACACTCATTAATTTTACATTATTTCCATATATAGATTTTAAACTTTTTCCAATATTCTTCCACCGTCTCTTCTCCCTGGTCTCGGGTTCTGCCAGTCATTTCCGTCAATTCCGAATAGCCCATCAACCTGGTGATCTTCTGTCTCTTAACTCTTTTCCAAGTCCCTTCTGCAGGTCTTCTTCATATTTATACATGCACTTTACTTTGTCTTCTCCTGATCTTGTTCTTATTTTCCTTCCTTTGATGCTGAAAAGTAGATCTCCGGGAAATTCCCATCAGCCAAATCTCCATAGTTAGAACTGAAATTCAAAAGATATTTCCAGTCGTGTTTCAAAGTTCCTCCAAGTCTGGCAGTCCCCACAACTCCAGTCTCCTTCTGACCCAAGTCCAGGTCCCAAAGGTCAATCTCCAGTCCAAGCAGGGCTCCAATCCTAAAAGTCTGACTTTCTCTAAATTCAGTCTTGGAAGGCATCAACTTATAATCATCAAATTGCAACTGTAAGGCTGGAGCTCTCTCCCTCACCACTTGTGCCACTTTAGGTTCCACAGCAAAAACTTTCTCCCCCGCCTTCTCCTCAATTTGCCATGTCAAAATAGATCCCTGTATCGATTCCTGAATAATTTCTGTATTAATATTGACTTTTTGTGCCAAATTAGTCACTTTTTGTTCCAAGTTATCAATTTTTATAGTCCTCGCATCCGTCTTCTTATGAAGCTGTTCCAGTGAATCATTAATCTTACAAAATGCAACCACTAAGGCTTCTTCTGTCAACATTCTTAACGATTCAAGGTCAATCCCAGATTCTCACAGTTTTATCTTGCAGGTGGAAAATTCCCCCAGCTCAGCTCTTGTAACAATTTCAAAGGCTTCCTCTAGGGGAAAACAATTTCTATTTGTATCAATCCTTTTAAGCACAGTTCAAACAATAAAGTTAGTTTCAATTTTCAGTTACTTTTACTCCTTTTTAAACGCAGAAGGAGACAATGGAAACAATATATTTCTCTTCTTTAACTTACTGTCAGCAGACGATCTATTCACAGTCAATGAGCATATCCGAAACTTCAATCTTTACTAGCAGCCCGTTTCCAGGTTCACAGCGGTGGTAATTTGACTTTCTCCACTCTCTCCTGCAGGCTTGCGCAATCTTAAATTTCCCCCCTCTTCTCCTGCTTCCAAGGGGGGTTTGATGGTTTAACCGATGGAAGTTTAATCCTTTATGTGAGACTTTCCAAGGCTTTAGCTTGCAGCCTCTTTGCTTCAATCTATTTACAAAAGGGGGAGGCGGACTTCCTGTTTGAAACCTCCCCTTTTCGGTGCTAAATTAAGACGTTTAAAAATCCAATTTTCCGTTCTACTCACTGGTTGTTGTTTTAAGATCAAATTGTCTACAGGAAAAAGTCAGTGCTCTCCTGCAACAGCAATGCGGCTTCACTCCGTGAAAGAAGCAGTCGATTCGAAGCACCGCGCCACTCACCCCACGTCGCTCCGGATCCCCGAAACCGGGTTTCCCCGCGAGTAGGGGAGGCGCAAAAGGTGCCAGCCGAATCCCACGTCCACAAGCTTCTCCCGCCTGTGGTTTTTAGTGGGTCTCCGCCTTCGCCGTGGCGGCCAGACCCTGATTTCCACGGAGCGGATTCCTCCCGATCAGAGGAATTCCTCCATTGCCGGAGGCGCTAACCCGGAAGTCCGACAACGCGCTGAATTCAGCTTCTGTAGAGGAAAGCGCAATGAGACTTTGCTTTCGGGACTTCCGCCCAACTAGAGATTCTCCAAACTTCACTACCAACCCAGACCCTGATTTCCTGTCCCCAAGATTTGCCCAATCGCTGTCAGTCCAGCATGTGAACGGTGCCTCACCCTCAGCTGACAGTTTGAGGCAGAAATCTTTGGGATCTTGCAGAGACCGCAGCACTTGATGCCATTCCAGGCAGTCACACTTGGCTTTGTAGCTTCCCTGCTGAGCAGATTTGTAGCAAATGCTATGTTTGGTCTGCTCCATTGGGAAACTCCCTAGAGCTGACTGAAAGATCTCAGCGTTCTCAAACTCAGAACGTTCCCCAAGCTGACTGTCTTTCACGTAGCTCATTTCCATGGGTGTTCTGACCCCTGCACACTCAGCCATCTTGAACTTCTCAAGCAACTGTTCAATCTTGCCGTTCTGACTGAGCAAGAAACTTCCGTGCTCGGTTCTATCTACCTGGACGCCTAGGTACACCTTTACCGGTCCTAGGTTCTTGAGTTTAAAATGATTTCCAAGCTCTTTGGCAAAACCTTGCACCTGTTTACCTGTCTTAGCCACATGTATGGTGTCATCAACAAACACCAACACTAGCTCCTGTGTCTCTCCTGACCCCTTCAGGTTGTTGTTGTTGTTGTTTAGTTGTGTCCGCCTCTTCATGACCCCCTGGACCAGAGCACGCCAGGCACTCCTGTCTTCCACTGCCTCCCGCAGTTTGGTCAAACTCATGCTGGTAGCTTCCAGAACACTGTCCCACCATCTCGTCCTCTGTTGTCCCCTTCTCCTTGTGCCCTCCATCTTTCCCAACATCAGGGTCTTTTCCAGGGAGTCTTCTCTTCTCATGAGGTGGCCAAAGTATTGGAGCCTCAGCTTCACAATCTGTCCTTCCAGTGAGCACTCAGGGCTGATTTCCTCCAGCACCATAATTCAAAAGCATCAATTCTTCAGCGATCAGCCTTCTTTATGGTCCAGCTCTCACTTCCATACATCACTACTGGGAAAATCATAGCTTTAACTATACGGACCTTTGTTGGCAAGGTGATGTCTCTGCTTTTTAAGATGCTGTCTAGGTTTGTTACTGCTTTTCTCCCAATACCCCTTCAGGTACAGGCAGCTATCTGCAAGACTCTTCCGGAAACTCATACTTTCCAAAGTTTCATTCAGACACAAATTCCAGTTTCTGGCCGATTGCTTGAGGCCATAGATGGATTTGTGTAACTTCCGCACTACATCTGGCTTATTGCCCTTGAACCCTGGAGGAGGTAGCATGTACAGATCCTCCTTCAGATCCGAGTTCAAATAAGCAACATCCACATCAAAATGATGTACCTGAAAACCCCTTTAGGCAGCAACTGCTAGTAGCAAGCACAGAGTTTCACTCCTAGAAGATGGAGCATACACTTCAGTGTAATGCAGCCCTTTTCTCTGTGTGAAACCTCTAGCTACTAGCCTAGCTTTGTACTGTGGTGCTCCTGTTGTTATGGGTTTAATTCTGTAAACCCAATGACAGCTCATGGCCTGTTTACCTGCTGACAGTGTTGTGGTGGAGAACACACCTAGAGACTTCATTGAGTTCAACTC